GTGTAGATGATGGTTGAGCCATGCTTGAATTGCTGTTTACACTTCTCTAAATGACATGAAGAATTGAAGATGATCCATCCGAGACCCGTGTACAGTACAGTACGGTACAGAAAATCCAATGCAAGCGAAGACAGCAAAAGTACAGAACACAAAACGCAAAACAGAAATATACGTTTGCAAATCATCCATGAAAGCCATCGGCCATCCACCAATGAGGGCCCTCCACGAACGCATGCCTCTCCCACATTAAAATCAGCCCCACTAAACCCGGGTGTGCCGATATTTAAGTACAATCCCCTGCTTCTCCCTCCGCAACTCTCTCCCTCTTGTATCAGGAGAAACCGGACAGTTAATTTGAGGGTGGAGAGAAAAAAAAAAAGACCCAGAGAGGCAAAAGAAAGCTAATAATAAAAGAAACTTAACAGCGAGATTGAGGAGGGAGAGGGCGAGATTGTCCCTTGACCCCTTAAAAAGAGTCTGTGACTTCCGGCAACCTCCCCTGCCCGAATAACTCACTCTTCCGGGGCCAGCAACGTCCTCCATTCCTTGTTACTTGTAAACCCTCTTCATCGTCGTTCCGGTGCGTGGGCCCCACCATTTGTCTTCCCATGCATGCTTTGGGTTTCGCAAGTTTGAGAAAAATAAAAAATAAAACTACATTTCTTGTATTTTAACTTGATTGCGTTGGTTCCCCTGTGTACCATCTCTCTGGTGGAAGCGGAGCAGTGTTGGTAACATGTTGGTTTTGGGGATTTCTGGTTTACATTGCATGTTGCTGTTGTTGTTGATGCTTGTGTTTGTATTATATGAAGAGTACTTAACTATTTGAATTTTGATTCACATGCATCCCATTATTTGTACAGTCTTCTTCTTTATAGAAAAGTATTGAAGCTTTTGGAATTCTATTTTTGGTTTCTTTCACAGTTGTGTCATATGAAGCTCTCACAAGCAATATTTATTATTATATTTTTCACCTAATGGTATTCAAGTGACTTGCCAATCAAAGAAACTTGCATGTAATGCAGTATAAATTTGAACCTAACCCGTATAGCTAATTTCTTCCACCAGCGGCAATGGACAGCATCAGAAGTCCATTCAAGGGAATAATCCATGACGTCAAAGGAAGAGCAGCGTGCTACAAGGAAGACTGGATTGGAGGACTTTGCTCTGGTGTAAGGTAAAAATCACCATGTTCTCTTTCTGGGATTCCATAACCTTGATTAGTTGATTCATAATCTTCTCCATTCGTTTCAGGATATTAGCTCCAACTTTCTACATTTTCTTTGCTTCTGCACTTCCCGTTATCGCCTTTGGGGAGCAATTGAGTAGGGATACGGGTATATCATCTGTTCCTTGTGGACTTTATCTTAAAAAGTTCAATTTTTTTGAAAAAAGAGTTGAAGAGGTGCTTGGTAACTATTGGTGATAAGAACTTAGTACCTAACGTTGTGTATCCATTTATAATTCTTGCTTTTTCTAGTTGTGGATTTTAATGGAGGAAGCCTGAAATTTATGTTTGTATGTTGGTAGATGGAACCTTAAGCACAGTTGAAACTTTGGCTTCTACTGCTCTATGTGGTATCATCCAATCATTATTTGGTGGGCAGCCTTTGCTGGTCTTAGGAGTTGCTGAACCCACTGTCATAATGTATAATTATTTATACACTTTCAGTAAGGGAAGACCAGAGTTGGGGACCAAACTGTTTCTAGCTTGGGCTGGCTGGTATGGGAATTAATCTCATCTTTTTTCCAGATTGCCAATGTTTCCTTTGTACTATGAGTACTATGAGTCAGAAAATAGATGTTAATGACTTTTGTGTTTACTTATGTTACAGGGTTTGTGTCTGGACATCCCTGTTGCTCATTCTTCTGGCAATTTTCAATGCATGTAACATCATATCCAGATTTACTAGGATTGCAGGGGAACTTTTCGGCATGTTGATCTCGGTTCTTTTTATTCAAGAGGCCATCAAGGTTTGCATAGAATGTCTTGACAAAACAAAACAAAACAAATTTCATCAGTTCTAGTGGATTGATTTTAACCCAAGTAAATGCTCATTGGCAGGGAGTAATTTCTGAATTCAGTATTCCGAAAGCTGAAAATCCAAAGCTGGAGGAGTTTCAATTCCAATGGCTCTACACCAATGGGTTGCTTGCTGTCATTTTCTGCTTCGGTGTCATTTCCACCTCCCTTAAGAGCAGAAAAGCAAGATCATGTTGGTATGGCACAGGTAATGAATTGAATTATTTTTTATAGTGATTTTATAATTTTATGAAATATTATTCTATTGCACCAGATCTGGTTTCGGCTATTCTTATTTGGCTCTTTTCGGGTGGTGGATACAGGGTGGCTCCGAAGTTTTATTGCAGATTATGGGGTTCCCCTAATGGTCTTGGTGTGGACAGCATTGTCTTATGTTGTACCTGGTAATGTTCCACATGGAGTTCCTAGGAGGCTTGTTTGTCCATTTCCCTGGGACTCTGCATCACTGTACCATTGGACCGTCGTCAAGGTATAATTAGTTCTCTGATGGGTAAATTGTACATTTAAGCCTTTTGCCTTTAACTGGGATCAATGGCTAATATAAAACATAATCTCTAAGCCTGTCCATTTCCCATATTTAAATTGCAGGATATGCCAAATGTCCCAGTCTTGTACATCTTTGCTGCCTTCATACCAGCTGTGATGATAGCAGGCCTGTACTTCTTTGACCACAGTGTAGCTTCTCAGCTGGCACAACAGAAGGAGTTTAATCTTCAAAAACCACCCGCTTACCACTACGATATGCTACTGCTGGGAATAATGGTATGTTTTCTAACTTTAATCTTTTTCTTCTATCTCTTGTTTTGTAATATATGTTTCTATCTAACCATGCTGCTATATTTTCATTGCTACAGACATTGATTTGTGGGTTGCTTGGGCTTCCTCCTTCAAATGGTGTTCTTCCACAGTCCCCCATGCACACTAAGAGCCTTGCTGTTCTAAGGAGGCAGGTAAGCTTAGGGTATCATATAGGATTTCTCTTGATTGGTAGTGTTAGTGCCATTTGTTTACACAATAGGACCGATCTGCAGGTGATTCGAAAGAAGATGGTAAAGAGTGCCAAGGAATGCATTAAACTAAAGGCAACCAACTCGGAGATGTTTGGAAGGATGGAAGCTGTGTTCATAGAAATGGACGGCGGCTCTCCTCCAAATGTAAGTGCTCAAGGCAGATACATACATACATATATATATTTTATATATCACTAATCGTCCATCATTTGTGCTAGTGCATTGTTTATTCAGAGTTTGGTTTTGTCTTGCAGCCTAAGGAGTTGCAGAACTTAAAGGAGGCTGTAATGAAATCCGATGATGGGGGAGAGTTGAAGGGAAAATTTGATCCAGAGAAACACATTGATGCTCATTTGCCTGTTCGGGTTAATGAGCAAAGAGTGAGTAACCTGTTGCAGTCACTCCTTGTGGGCGGCTCAGTATTTGCAATCTTTGTAATAAAAAAGATACCTACCTCAGTTCTTTGGGGTTACTTTGCCTACATGGCGATAGATAGTCTGCCCGGGAATCAGTTCTGGGAGAGGATCTTGCTGCTCTTCATCAGCCCTAGCCGGCGTTACAAGTAAGTCTGTTTAATAGTGGTTTAGAAGTTTTATTAAACTTCGAATCATAATCTTGACTCATCTTTAATTTCATTTTTCTTGGACAGAGTCTTGGAGGGTTCTCATGCTTCATTTGTGGAGTTAGTACCATTCAAGTACATTGTTGCGTTTACGCTCTTCCAACTCGTATACTTTCTGATATGCTTTGGGGTGACATGGATACCTATAGCTGGAATATTGTTCCCACTGCCATTTTTCATTCTCATAAGCATAAGGGAACATGTGCTACCCAAGTTCTTTCATCCTGCCCATCTACAAGAACTGGATTCTTGTGAGTGGGAGGAAGTTCCCGGTGCTCCACAAGTATGTCTCGTTTCCTTTCATTGCTAATTAATTTGCAGAATGAATGTTTTGTTTTGGTTATTTTGATAAATGTATTTGAAGGATTTTAATTCATGGCCTATTGCACACTGTGTGAGCAGGAAAAAGTACCACCTGAACCTGGTAACGATGAGGGCACAGACTATGATGGTGAGATATTAGATGAGATGACAACAAGCAGAGGTGAACTAAAGCTTAGAACCAGCTTCAGTAGTGAAGACAGGTTCTCTCATGTAAGACTGTTAGAGAATGGCCTCAATGCTTCTTTCCATATAATAACTCCTTAAAGTCAACTCTGTTTGTATCTACCAATATCCTATATTATAAAACTTACCTCTCCAGAGATGAATAAACAATTTGATTACAAGTTATCAATCGGTTCAACGCCATATTTACATGCAAATTTGTGCAGGTGCACCCGGAAGATGGTCAAATATGATGAGACAGTGGATGCTAATCAAATTATAGATTGATTGAGATCTAATCTTGTGCTTTTCATGATGAGAAAAATGATGGTTAAGCTCCTCAGCAGAGGATTGTTGAAGGACAAGGATGCCTAGCTTGAAAAAGACAAGTTATGGATTGAGCAAAGCACATACAGAAAGTTATTTTTTTAAGGCAGAATTAAGGGACAAGGAGTAGGGAAGAGGGGATAACAAGGGGTGTAATTTTTTTTCTCTTCTTTTTGATGGAAGCCAAAGGGTGTATTAGAATTTTCACTTCTATTGGTTTTCCATTTTACAAATCTTTGTAGTTAAACCACAAGTCCAAATCTTTGCAGTGTGTTCGAGTTAAACTGAACCCTGTTAGAAGCTCGATACTTCATGGATTTACCTGATACAAGGTTTCGACCCAAAAAAAACCTGATATAAGGTTTGATTTGTATGAACACTAAATTATATATCAACTTTTGTTACAAAATTATAACAGAAATGTGCCTACCTAAGAAACTACATCCAGAAAAATATTATGAATATTACTCTAGGAGATGACAGTTATAAGCATGTCATCTGCTAAAACCTCCATCCCATTTCTGGTCTTTTGCATCATCAAATCCCAGCATCACCAACAACAAGAAGATGGTCACCATCTCTAACAAGCTGTATGTCTTCAATTTCAGCTCCTTCTTTGGTTAAGACTTTGGTGGGACTAAACTGAAATTTTTTGGCACCAATGTCAAGTAGTTCTTGAAGGGACTCTGGAAGAAGCACAAGCTTTGCGGCAGTTTCACCTTTTTCCGGGCAGCTAAGAATCACTCTGGCCGGATAGCTTATCTTACTTCGGGTACTGGGAAAAATGCCTGAAGATGTTGCAAAGTCTTTCTCTCTCTCACCTGCATGTTTTGAAATTAACCTTGTCAAAACTTGGACACAATGAAATCAAAGTTCTTAATTGCTATTACAGAGAAAAGTGAGATATATGTGTACCAGTATTGGCAGCTGACATGACCCCAAAAAGTGAATTACGGAAGTTTTTAGCTCTTCTCCAAGTATTTTCCGTTGATAATATTTCAGAGCTGGATGGCCTACTATCCCGGGCATAGGGAGGTAAGGCGGGCTCACTCCGGAACTTCCCATGGTGTGGTAGCACAGGATCTTTTGCCATTGAAACAATAGTTGGTTTCTTAATCTCTGATTTCTTCTTAAACAATTCTATTATTTCTTCATGTCCCTGATGCTCTGCCAAACCCTTAGGATTCCATCCGTAGCTATCCGGCTTGTCAGCATCCGCTCCTTTTTCTAAGAGGAACTTAACTATCTCAACATTTCCTTCACATACTGCTGTGTGAAGTGCTGTAGTCCCATTGCTCTTGGGCAGCGTTACATCACCTCCATGTTTGGCTATGTCTTTAAGAAGCTGTAAGTTGTTTTGCTCAACAGCAGCACAAGCAAAACTACCCACATTGCCAGAAGTTATATCTGCTCCATTGTCTAAAAGAAGTTTGATCAAAGATTCATGTTTCCCTGATATTGCTTCCCACAGAGGAACATTTCCTTCCGAATCTGCATGCAAAGTAATGAACACTTAAATCCAGGCTAAAATTGATACATGGCAGATTGTCTGCCATCAGAAAATTTCCTTACCTTGAATGTTAGGATCTGCTCCAAATTCTAAAAGTAAGAGTGCGCAGTGCTCGCTTCCATTCGATGCTGCAATATGCTGTCGAAAGACAAAAGAAAAGGCATACAGAATAAGCTCCAAGTCTCATATGCAAAGGCCATATATGGGACAAGTGTACATGTGCGGATATAAAGATAGGATATGAGCACCATAGCTGTTCTTCCATTATCATCCATCTCATTTGGATCTGAACCCCGCCTGAGCAAATGGTGCAGCAACAAATCATCACCCCTCTTTGCAGCAAAGCATAAACTAAGAGGCAAATCCATTCTACCCCGAGCCAGCATGTGCTCTATGTCCGCCAAGATTCCTTGCATCAGGGGATCCTCTATTTCTTTCAAATACTGCATCAACAACATGCATAAGAGAGTGCAAAAAACCAAAAGATTTTCTTCCTGATAATAAAGAATAACAAACAATGATCAATGTAAGAAATTTACATACCTGAAGAAAATTGTTCATGATAATTGTTCCATCTCCAACATTTGCCTGAACAATATTTAAGAAAGCTGTACGGTTCAAACGCAGAAGCTGACAGAGTCCTTTCGTACGAACGGTGACCATTTGAGGCCTGTAGCAAATCACGCCAATCTCACCAACAACGTCTCCTGTCTTCGCTTCACGAACAACCTGCAGTCATTGCACAACAAGTTCATCACTTGTAAGAAAACACCAATGTTTAAGTTTTGCAAGACACCTGAACAAAGATTTATATTATTTAACTTGCCGGTTCTGCTCCATTCCTTCGCAAAATTAATTCCTGTTAGCAAGTAACAAGAATCAGAAGCTATTTTGACCGAATAAAAAGACAAAACGAAAGAAAAGGAAAAAGATGGCCTGTGTTCAGGTGCCAAAGAGTGTGAATAGCTAGTTTCTTATTCTTACCACAGCGCCAGTGACTACTATATACAAGTCAGTGGGTGCTTCATTCTGCAAAATTACATCTTCTTTTGGAGGAAAATACTCAGCCTTCATCTCGGAGACCTTAACCAAAGACATGGAAGTAAAACGAAGTGTATTACGTACGTGTAAGATTGCAGGAAACACAGGAAAAAAGCTTTATGATGTATCCAAGCACCACCAACAAATATGAATTACTGTAAGCTTAAGAAGTACCAGTTGGAAAAGCAAGTCTCTTGATACCCCCTGGAACAAGTAGACACTGTCAACAAGTGGATAGAAGAGATAGTGTGAAATACTTGATCTAATGGCTTTAGGGAGTGCATCAAGAGTCTCTTGCTGCTGCAGCCCTTCTGAATTAGTTCTGTACTTCAAACACAAATGAGCAAGCATCTGCTCATGCAGGCGATCAGGTATTTGGTTTCGTTGCGCAAAACTTGTGGCAGCTTGAATAGTATCTCTCTGAGTCCAGACAAGCAAGTCCAAGATAATGGGAAATGAAAAGGGATATATGTTAGCCAGAACTTGGAAAGTGCTATACTTGTGAATCTGTCAGGACAATGCAGTTTATTTCTATATTTCCTAAGTAACAATTTACGAACTTTAGTAGTCAAAAGTATAATGTTAGTGCAAATACAAAAACTTTTTCATTTTGGTTCAACTTCAACCAAACCATGTCCTGGTAGGGGATAGATTCTTTCCTATAGCTCATGCAGAAGAAATTGAACTCTGATAAGTATTTTGTTATGAAACACGATAAATAGCTTTCGTACATAAAACAGAATAACTTCAGGTGATTAAGAATTCACTTGTCCAATTTTGAGCCGTCAAGAAACCCACAGTCTACTGGATAACAGAAGAGTGTGTCAAACCAAACAAAGGTAAGAAAGAATGTACTTACAAATTGTCTAGTTCGAGCAGTCCCATGGACAATCAAGTTAGTCATGTTTCCAATCAAGTAAGCTTGCAGCCCAAGATTAAAAAGCATATAGAAGATATCAAATATCATCTCCTGTGAATTTACAGGATGCAAATCACCATAGCCAGTAGTTGTAAGGGTGATTATGGACCAGTACATTGAGGTCACATACCGATCCCACAAACTGATATCATGAAAGTTATCTGTGATAAGCCCAAGCCATGTCCTTCTCGGGTTACGATTACGTACAGCAAGAAAATAGAAAAAGCAACCGGCACAATGAACTGTAAGGAGAGTAACCTACAAGCACAACAAAAGCCCGATGATCATGAGAAACATCAGTAATAGAAAATCACACCAGTATTTCATAAACATGACTAGATATTAGTCAAAAGACACTCACGAAGATAAGCTTTAAGTATCGAACCCAGAAGTAGCTATAGTTCCTGTCTTTTTCCAATCTAGAATCCAAAGAAAAAAGCAAAAGAATGTGAGATCAGTTCCTGCAACACGCATAGATGAAGACGCTATAAACCAGCATTTACATCAGTAGTACCTGGCAAACATTGCACTGACTCTTCGGAGACGCCATAGACGAAGGATATTGAAGTATCCATAGGTCTCAAGAGGAGGAGGCAAAACACTCTGAGCAAGTTCTGAAGGGATTGTGGAGATGATGTCAAAAGCCAACCAGGTTTTGGCATATCTCAGAGCAATTAGTTTGGGATTGTCAATGAGGAGATAAGAAGTCTTATCAAGGTAGGCCACAAAGAATGTCAAAACAATGTCAACGGCAAAAAATCCATTTACAACATTATCAGTAATGGCCAGGGGTCCTTTTGCTCTGTCCAGAAATCCAAATTCAAAAGGGCACACCCAGGCCGTGTAGAAAACCAGGCATACCAGAAATGACTGCCAAAGTCTGCAAAATTAAGACCCAAAATGTAAACTTTATTAATGCAAGGATTTCAAAAACAAAATGTCACACTCAAAATGATACATAAAACCCATCAAGACACAGCATAAAAACCCCATGGACGATTGAAAACATCATAAAAGAAGAACCAATCTAGGCCATAAAAATTCTAGCTTTTCATGATCTCATGCATTGTACAAATCAAATCAAATCAACCCATTTGAACACAGACATTGACATGCAAAACCAAGAAGAAAATTTTGAAACTTGAATTGAATTGAGAGAGAGAGAGAGAGAGAGAGAGAGAGAGAGTCTCTCACTTGTAATGAGAATAAAAGGGAGGGATAATGAAACGACGTAGCTTATGTCTGGGACGGTTTCTAGAAGTGGCACCAAGAGAAGGCAAAATGCCATGGTTAATGCTATACTGGCTGGTCTGGCTTCCTTCATCCCTTGACATTTGCTCTGTCGTCTCTTTCTCTCTAATGCCATGCCCACACATGGCCATTGATATCGACATTGGCATCGAACCCTTCATCTTTACAACACCTTAACTGTGATCACAAGTCATCATCTTCCTCCTTCGCCTCTGAACTCTGCCCAACTATTCCCCTGTTTCTCTCTCTCCAACGTAATCCATTGTTAATCTCTCTCCTTGGTTTCACCAAAAAAAAAAAGAGAGAAACAAAGGAAGCTGTGCGCTCTCTTTGTTTTCTCTTTTCTCTTTTCCTCGTACGTAGACAAGCAATTTGTTTTTCTTATGTAAGATTGGTTTTTGAGGAACAATTTAAACTAACAGAACCAAAGAGCAGTGCCTGAGTGTGTCACTCGTAAAAACAGTGTTGAATTCAATCTTAACAAACCTACACGTTTCTTTGCCCTTATCTACGCAACTGACGCTTCCATTGTGTTCAAACTTGACAGCCAAACAATCAATTTTTTCAGGAACACAATATAATTGACACATTGGCCTACATGTGGCAAACATGCACCTAGAAAAAAAAAATTACGTTCTATTGTGAGTTAGGCGTGTTGGCCAGGATAACGTGTTCGGCCGTTGCATCTGAGTTAGAATTTCATTACCCTAATGTACTAATGTAAAAAGGGATAAACATCCCTTAAATGTAGGAGCTGAGTTGTGAAATAAGGCTGAGTCAGAATTATTGATGCATGGGATCCTTGCTTCCTTATATTCAGGTTTTGATATAACATGAGAGAGAGAGAGAGAGAGAGAGAGAGAGAGTCTCTCACTTGTAATGAGAATAAAAGGGAGGGATAATGAAACGACGTAGCTTATGTCTGGGACGGTTTCTAGAAGTGGCACCAAGAGAAGGCAAAATGCCATGGTTAATGCTATACTGGCTGGTCTGGCTTCCTTCATCCCTTGACATTTGCTCTGTCGTCTCTTTCTCTCTAATGCCATGCCCACACATGGCCATTGATATCGACATTGGCATCGAACCCTTCATCTTTACAACACCTTAACTGTGATCACAAGTCATCATCTTCCTCCTTCGCCTCTGAACTCTGCCCAACTATTCCCCTGTTTCTCTCTCTCCAACGTAATCCATTGTTAATCTCTCTCCTTGGTTTCACAAAAAAAAAAAGAGAGAAACAAAGGAAGCTGTGCGCTCTCTTTGTTTTCTCTTTTCTCTTTTCCTCGTACGTAGACAAGCAATTTGTTTTTCTTATGTAAGATTGGTTTTTGAGGAACAATTTAAACTAACAGAACCAAAGAGCAGTGCCTGAGTGTGTCACTCGTAAAAACAGTGTTGAATTCAATCTTAACAAACCTACACGTTTCTTTGCCCTTATCTACGCAACTGACGCTTCCATTGTGTTCAAACTTGACAGCCAAACAATCAATTTTTTCAGGAACACAATATAATTGACACATTGGCCTACATGTGGCAAACATGCACCTAGAAAAAAAAAATTACGTTCTATGTTTATTGGATGGTACACCAGACACGTGGTGTACCTGGAACATTTAAAAATTTCTCGTTCTATTGTGAGTTAGGCCGGTTGGCCAGGTGTTCGGCGTTGCATCTGAGTTAGAATTTCATTACCCTAACGTACTAATGTAAAAAGGGATAAACATCCCTTAAATGTAGGAGCTGAGTTGTGAAATAAGGCTGAGTCAGACTTATTGATGCATGGGATCCTTGCTTCCTTATATTCAGGTTTTGATATAACATGAGAGAGAGAGAGAGAGAGAGAGAGCGCAATGGTTAATAAGAGCAATGAGAATCTGAATTTTAGACCAATGCAAGAATGGGATATAATATTTAGTGTCATATTCAACTTTCTTTTTTGTTCAAAGCATCATCACCCTGTAAATTTGAGCCCACCAATTTGCCTTTGCCTTTGGACAAGTTCTCTACAGGGCTTAGCTTTAGTTACCTTCAGCCCTACATGAGCCACCCATGCATCGAATATAAAGTGTATAAATATGAACGATCTGAAATAAGAATTTGGATTTGAATTCAGTTCAAAATGCATGTTACTCGACGGGATTTTATCAGATATATATAAATATAATTAACATATAATTTGATTTTCTTAAAGAACGGTTGATTCCAAGTGCTGAAGAGAGAGCACATGGAGGAGAAGAGATTCTAATTTCTAAACAAGTGTTGGGTTTGAAAGGGGAGAATGTGAAAAAATATTTTAGTGGGTGGGGAGAGTTTGAAAAAGGGGAAAAAACATTACTTTGATGTTTAAACACTTGAATAATATTATATGGAAGCCGGAGCCTAGCCTATTGGAAAAGGAAAATACTAGGCTAACCACATTTTTATACCACATTGTATACCACCTCTCTTTATTAGAGATGTGGGACACAATGTGGTATAAAAATGTGGTAAGCCTAGCGTTACCCATTGGAAAATGCTCTTCATTTTGTAAACCAGTTGTTCTCAAGTTCAAACGCTGATGACATATTAGCAGTGTGTGTGAGAAAACTTCATCCCCTTCTAACTTTGGAAAGAAAAAAAAATTAAAATGGAAATATAAAATATAAAATGACTTAGTTTTCAACATAAAGGAATTTGTAACTCAAGCCATTGAGATTTTTATAAGAAACACGTGTGATATATGATTGGCTCTTATTTCTTCTTTCGGTTATTAAAAAGTGAAATATTGCTGCTTCACAAAATAATAATAATAATAATTCTAACTTAGGGCCTCATTAATCTTAAGATCCAATATCCAAGCTCCACGACTGTGCTTATTTGGTGGCCCATAAAACAATAGAGTAGCATTCGCTCTTCAGGCCCGACCCAGGAGCCCTTTCCTTTTCAGGTGCCCCGATACGAAACGACGACGTGTCGGTCATTGGAGTCGTCAATTCGTCATAGCCATAGCCACCACAACTTCGCTGCCCCTCAAAACTCAACGATTTTTCGAGAAACTCAGCAGAGAGAGAGAGAGAGAGAGAGAGAAGGCAAAATGGCGTCGTTTCTGCAATCGTTGGTAGATCCAAGGAAGAATTGGTTCGCCCGTCAGCACATGAAGGCCGTTTCTCAACGCCTCCGCCATTACGGTTCGCCTCTTCTTTCACAAACCCTAATCTATATACATGTGTGTGTTTGTGTGTAAGTGTGTATAGGCTGATTTTATTCGATTTGATTTATGCTGAATTGGGTATGAAAATTAGGGCTTCGATACGACGATCTGTACGATCCCTACTACGATTTGGACATCAAGGAGGCTTTGAATCGGCTACCAAGGGAGATAGTGGATGCTCGTAACCAGCGTCTCAAGCGCGCCATGGACCTCTCCATGAAGCACGAGTACCTTCCCGAACATCTTCAGGTGCCTTTTGCTTTTACCTCATTTCATTTCCTTTGAATTCCTTTCCAAATCTAATTCGTATTGATTTGTGGCCTGAGATATTTGATTTCAATTTGGTTTCATGTGATAATATAAAAAGAATGGTAGTAATTGCAAACAAAGGGTGTTCATTTCTAATGCTTATGATAGCATTTGCATTAAGATTTGCTATGAAATCCTTTTAGTGGGTGTAGATTCTTGTATTTGGAATATGTATTTTTCCGTGCATATTGTAAATACCATTCTCAGCCTATTCTCTTTTATTGTTAAAATTTGACTGTAAATACTTGCCTTTCTTTATCTATTTTGCAGGCACAGCAAACACCATTCAGGAGCTACCTTCAGGAAATGCTGGCTCTTGTAAGTACCATTATGTTGCTCCTTTGCTACTTCTTTCTTGGGTCTTTCAGTTTGTGTTTGTATAGTCAACTATGAAGCTCCTATTTACCAACCCTATTTGAGTATCTACCCAAAACATAGAAGTATGCCGGAGATTGTTTTCTTTTTGAAGCAAACTTGATGGAAGGAATCGTTAGTATTACATTTTCATTTGTTCACCATGTAAAGTTTTTCGATATATGTTCAGTGTGCTACATGCATTTGTAATTTTGCAGTGAGACTCATATCGGTTCCCCTTTCTGTTATGGTTTTTGTTCTCTTACCAAGTGTGAAACAGAAGATATAGAATAATGACTGTACAGTTTAATTTGATGGATGTCCTACCGAAAAAACTTATGACATGTAGCACGAATGAGTTGTCGGTAAATGTTTAATCATGCTTTCTATTTTTCAGGTGAAGAGGGAGAAAGCAGAGCGTGAAGCTTTGGGAGCATTGCCGCTCTATCAGCGCACCATTCCATAAGCAAGTTATTGCCTCTTGTAGCTATTTTTTGTTGGAATGGTTTGTTGGACGAAATTATAGCAGTGTTTCTGGTAGATGTTTCCATACCTTAAGGGAGATTGTTTTCTGTTGTAGAAGCTTTTCCCAATTGTTGGCATTTGAGGACCTGAATTGGAACTTCCTGGATGGTTGTCATATTCTGGAAGTCCCTTGGTTTTTTCATAATAAATGTATGATCCAACTTTAACTTCTTTAATATGCTTAATTGCAATAAGCTGACTTTTTCTATGAATGGATGCGAGATGGGGGTTCGAATTTTGCTATTTCACTCAGTAAGTTTGACCGGTCTGCATGCAAATATCAGTTATTTTGCTATTTCACTCACGAGCTGTGCGAAGATCATAAAGGTCGATCATGCAAATATCAACTTCAATGTTGATCACCCGTTGATAGAAAAAGACAAAGAAGGTTAGGTATATTGGTAGAAGGAAAATGCTTCCCTCCTCTCCTGGAAGAAGGCATTCCTACTTCTTGCAAATTACAGTTTGACACATGCAAAAATATTTCATTAAAAACACAAAAGAAAAATCTCTACACACATGTCAAACTGTAATTGACAGGAAAGTAGAAGTTTCTACTTGCAGGTGGGTGCATTTTTGCTCACCACTTTAACCATAGGTGTACCATCACCACAATTCCCAATGTTTGACACGTGTCCATAGACATAACCATAGTTAACTTTTGCTTTGTATTTATGGAATTATAATTATACCTATGGACACGTGTCAAGCATTGAGGATGGTGGTGAGGGTACACCTATGATTAAAGTGGTGAGCAAAAATGCTATGTTACGTATTATATTTTACATTTTTATTTTATTTTACAGCTCGTGATTAAATTAACTTGCAAGCCTTTATCTCGAATCCAAGTTAGTTTTATTTATTTATTGTTTACTGTGTTTCAAATTACAATTTGTTATAAATTCAATTTCGTTGGTATACATATATATATCCCCTTTTATTTTAGGG